ATCCATGTTGAGAAATTATTAGTTCAGTAGCAACCCAAAGCAGCACTGGGGACAGCATCTTGGTGACACTAGCACCTATACTCAGGATAGCTCTGCCATGTCTAAGCAAAAAGTTGACACTGATCTTTAACTGATGCTCACTGCTCAAAATCTTCCGGATTAAACAAAAAGCAGAAATAGCTTACCTGGAATATGAATGCATCCAAAAGGCTAATTCATGAAGCATGCACGTGCACATACAAAGTAGTATAAAACTATGAGGCTCCACTCCAGTTATTAATGCCTAGCTTCTGGCTACCAGATAGAGTTTCTGACTACAAGAGTTAATGAATGCATGAATTCATTCTTTTTTCTTGGACTCACATAAAATGTCCAGCCTTGTTACCAGAGTTAACATAGATACTATTTACTTCTAAAACATGGTATGGTCTATGAATCCTTTGAGTTCCAGGCATTATGTCCAGTAATCATGGATTCTGATTCTGGTGTTATCCCAGACACCAATGTAAGACAGCCTTTCTCAATGTTGTGTCCTACAGATGTGTTAGGAACAGGAACAACAAGAATTCTAATGAGTTTGGCCCAAGATTCTTGCTGGTTACATTCTGAGGCAGGAAGCTCATAAAAATGGCAAGTGCATAGATTTAACATCGTTTAAAAAACAAAGAAAACTCCCCAACATTCCCCAAACAGAGGAAAAATAAAATAAAATGCCAACCATGTGGCCACCAAAAGATTGTCTGAAACACTGAAAAGGAGCCAAGGGTACATTAGAGCTCTCCATGGTACTGATTTCTAATTTCAAATCACCTCAGCTCTGTTCTTATTCATATAGTATCTAATTTTCCATGGTGAATACTCAGAGCCATCCACTGATAATGCTCTTGTTATGAGCCTCTTCAAATTTTTATCATTATGTCTAAGCTCTACACATGAGGAAGACGAGCGGGGAGGAGTATGCTACATGAACCTCTCTCTATCATTCTCAGCTTGTTACCCCCTATGCATGGACGGTGTAGCTTAGTTCTGCACTGTGCGTGAACATTTAGTTTATTGATTTTCTCACTGAAACAATCTCACTTTTTCCCCTGGAGCTCCTGAAGCATACACAGAACCACTATCCCTTCAGTTTTTCCCCCAACAACAAATGGATCAGACAGAATGGGCTTAGAAAGAGTGACTGGCTGAAAATTATCCAGTGATCCTCCATAGAGGAAAGTCCTATTCAGCACACTGCTTTTCATTTTCAACTTCTACATGTGGAGAATTAGGAATTATTCTCTTTCTATGGAGATTCTACCTCTGATTTAAATCTCTAATTTTCCATCTTTTCTAACTGTGTGTAAAACTTATTTAATTATGACAATTAAAAGGGCTATGGGTCAGAGCCACCATAGTTAAGTGCCTCACCTAGTCCTTTAAATTAGTTCAAGGAACACTTTAAGGCACTTTCCATGCTTCTTTCAATATAAATGCACACGCAGAAATAGGGAGCCCTGTTTTATATACGTTTTTGCCTCATAGTGTCAACTTACTACAATGTTTTATCTCCTTGGTGAAAGACCATGATGCTGTTGGCAAAAAGTCCACATCAGTGGGAAACTCCCAGGTCAATCCTCTCTGAAACTGAGGAACACATCCAAATTTCCATTCCATGTAAATAAACTGCATACAGCTTCCTCTACTACACAAAGAAATTACTTGTGTGCTCTTATGTAGATAGCAGATCACCACCCTACATGGAATATGTATTTAGGTGTACATATCAGACCTGGGCAAAATGGCATTTTGGAATTCTCCATCAAGTTTGTGGGCAGAGAAATTTGGTGAATGATTTCCTCATTTTTTTCCTAGAAGAGGAGAAAATCTCCAAATATTTCTCAAAGACAGGATTCACCCTTTGCAGCTACTGAATATGCTCCAGGAGGGAGTTCACTCATAATGTCTTCCCTTGGGATTTAATGAAAAAGGGAGCCATGGAAGCAGTAGGTTTCTAGAGAGGAAGGATTCTACAAAGGTTTATCTTACCTACCCTTAGCAATCTCCTAATTAAATAAGTGCAAGAACATCATGAGAATTTTTCTGAGATTCTCTTTTTCTCTGACGTTATTTAAAAGGAAAATTCTTTTTTCATCGGACCAAATGAGAGCTTGCTACAAAAGAATTTTTCTGTTCAACACTATTGCACATCACAAATATTGCTTTAGAGGCAAATCAGAACAATGGTCCCTCTAAGCTGACTGATGTAAGTGCTCGAAGATTTCACAATTCAATGCAATCTAAAATTTCTACGCCCTAATCCCAAGACCGGTGGTATGCAAAATATGCCATTGAGTCTCTCCCTCTGCCAATCTAGGCTGCTGCTGCTGCTGCTTGAATAAATGAGGATTGACCTTATTAAAATCTGGCGTGAAATAATATACTACATCACATTTGATTCTAAATTACTAGCTGGGAGTGACAATCCTGCAACATGTTTCCACAATAAAAAAGTTGAAATTCTAAGATACACCAGAGATAGAACTTGGCATACAGATGAAGATATATGGGGGGAGAAAAACAGTAATCACCAAATGCCAATTGAAAGCAAAACTGGTTAAATCCAGTGATCCATTAAGCACAAAAATATCTGTTCAATGTGGCAGTACAATGTAACCTAGCCATCTCCCACTATTGCTTTTCCATTCTAAACCACTTTTGCTATGTAGATGTAGGCATCAACTTCACTGTGACATAATTAAAGCTGAGGCATGGATTACACTAATACTGGAGCAGAGTCGAGATAAAGTTGCTGAGGTTGAGAAACTGGGCTATACACTTAACAGTGGCTGTTCCCTATCAAGTAATGCTATTTAACAGCTTGCATTTATATTCTACCATAGTCCCTCACTGGCTATAATTCTGGAGGTAGAAATGTGAAAGAATTTTACCTAGACATCTTTTGGGATTGGATTTTGGATTTGAACCACAGAAGAAATCTGGGTGGGATGAACACTGGCATTTTAAAAAGAATGCTTTAAAAGTCTATCTTGGTAACAGCAGCCCTGTTTCTTTTTCACCTCTTGTGCTCATGGAAAAATGATATGAAAAAGCAAAAAGGCTCTCTCCCATCACTGGAGATTGATGTTATCAATGCAAGCTTTTAATTTTTTTTTTTTTAATGCTGCAAAAAATCACTTAGCCACCTTGGGCATTAAACAAAATGAAGCATCTAATCTGCTGAATACTTTCTGGGATTAAAAAAAAAAATTCTCCTGAAAAAAATGTGAAACCCCAGAAGTGGCCTTTCAAAGCAGCAGGATGAATAAGATCTCTTAGGATTTATGAAATGGCTGCTGGAGAGGGAAAGAGAAAGATTCAATTAGATCAGAATTAGAACTTGCACTAAAGATATGAAAATAGGAACAGAAAAGAATAGCCTGCACCTTTAATTATTCCTGATGATTAGGCATGAACAAATCAACTTCTCTTTCATTAATACAGTGCCAATATGGTTCCACACGCTTGTTTATTTTTCCCCAATTCTGCATGAAAAACTAGAAACATTTCTCTACTTTCACTTGCTCCACAGCTCTTTCCATACTTTTTTCTTTGCAATGCAAAATTCAAAGAAGTGGGAAAACCCATAGAAAATGCAGTTCCGGTTCCCAGATCAGTTGCAGAAGACTAGCATCATCTGACTGGCTATTGCAGAAAACCAAAATGCTGGACTAATGTAATGTACTTTCCTCCTGTCTTGGAGATGGAAGGACAGTGTGTTGGTAGAAAGAATGTTGCCCCCACAGCCTACCTTTATTGTAACAAGACCAGTCAATGCGTTGCCCTCACAAAAAGTAACATGGAGTAGTTTCAGGGCAGCAATTTGTGCTTTCTCTGCTGTTCTTTCCCACCCATCTTGTGCCACCAATCACTTCCCTGAACATGAGTTAACCCCTCCCCCTTGTTGAAGATTGATTTGTTTAGCAAGTGGAGAAGCAAAGAGATTATCCAGTAGGTTTGTTGCTCTGCATCACCAGCAGTAACTTCTGGCTTCCAAAAAGGTGGCTGTCAAAAGGCCAGGGAAAGCTCTTCATTAACAAGGACCAAAGGGCTCTTTTAAAAGTTCCTCTGGGATCACTGAAAGAGCTGGTGACATTTTCTGATCAGATAATTTGCAGAGTTCCTCCAACAGGTCCTGATTGCCTCCCATTCTGAATGGTCTCGGGTTAAATTAATATAATTAGTGTACTAGGGAAAATCGAAGGTCCTTTGTTTAAATAGTGTCCATAAAGAAAGTTCCTTCTCAAATGGCCACTACAGCTTATGCACTGTGTTTTGAAGAAAGCACTGCTCTTTTTGGGAGTTTTTTTTTTTTTTAGTTTGTTTTTGCTTACCAAGGGGAACATTGACCTTCTGATAGATCTTCATTTGTCTTACATAGGGTCAGTATTCCCATTGCCAACACACACACACATCACACCCACACACTTCAAAAAAAGAAATAGGCTATACAAGACTTGTCCCTCTTGTAACCACAGCCAAAATGACCTTTGAGGTGGCCAGTGACCAGATGGGAAGGGTGGTCCCCCAACAGATCTGTTGGACCAATTGAATCCAAGCTCATTGTGGAGCTCCAAAGACACATCCTCCATGCACCTTCAAATATCTATATGAGAAATATTTTGCCATAAGAGCAGAGAAAATATACCTTCATGCAGGAACAGCTTAGACCAGCTTCAGCCTGCCTCAGCAGCAAGCTGCCACTGAGATGAAGGTTATGACGTGAGGACATGTCCTCAAGAAATAATTACCATGTGACAAGCATGGTATGTAGATAAGCCCTGGTCTGATTTAGCAAGAATAAAGTGAATGATGCTGGATTGTATTAAAATGTAGGGCTGTGCAATGCCTCAGATTAAATTCAGAAGAATTACTTTGGAACTCACGGAAACATGAACACAGCACCTTCCTGTGATGCAATAAAGCAGCTGTATCTGCTTCCACAATCATGTAGCACCTTTAATGTTCCTCAGATTCCACAGTATCTCTTCCAAATTAAATCCAAAGCACTGCACAGCCCTACTAAGAAGCGAATCAAGCAATTTTGCCCAAGTCTCTATAGACCTGACTGCCTCTTCTCTGAGCATTTCTCTTCTTCCATCAGACCAAGCTGCTAGTCTCCAGACTCAGATCCAAAGAGAGGTACATGTGTTGGAAAGTGAGTGGAGCTGCCTGCACGGTAGCAAGAGCAAAGTCCTCAAAATGTTTCCTTACCCTTTCCGAATGACAACAATGATTGCCCCCAGGAGGATGATCAATACCACCAGTCCTCCAGCACAAATGCCCAGAATGAGGCCCATTTCCTCCGAGTGCTGGGAAACTTCCAAGGGACGCTTGCTTTCTTTACAGGCAGCTGTCGGAAATAAACAGCAAACAGGTGGGTCAAGAGAACATGAAAATAGGAGGTGACACCATTAGCTTCTCCCCCTTTTGCACATAATTTGTATACATCACCAGAGAAGATAGGAGAAAGAACTCTGGATATCATTTGGGATATTTTTAAAGAGGTAATAGATTGTTTTAAGCAGGTTAGCAACACCTCATCAACTGATCTCCCCCAAAAGCTAAGCAGGTCAGGCTTGGTTGGTGTTTGGGTGGGGGACCGAAAAGAAATCCCAGAAATGGACATTAGATTGGGGAATCAGAATAGCATCCTGGAAGAAAGCGATGGAGAACTGCTTCAGTATTCATGGATATGTCCATGAAGTCACTAGGAACTGATCTCAATCCAAGGAAGTTTTACCTTTACCTTTAATTATTTATGGAGCCTATGGGGTTAAAGATGAGGATGGGAAAGTCTTATTGCCATATTTTAGAGATGTAGAATTGGTAGGGGACACAGGCTATTCAGGGCCACTGCTGCCTCATTACAGAATCCCAATTAAATCATAATAAATAAATAAATAAATAAATAAATAAATAAATAAATAAATAAATGATTTCTACCGCCAATAGAAGTAATCAGAGGAGCATTGTAATTATATGCAAGTCTAGCAATCTACCCACCAGCTATAACATGTTTAAGAAAATGAAAAGAAAAATTGCCATGGAAAAAAGTGTTATTTATTTATCTCAGATGAAAGTTAAGAAAAGTTTCTTAATGGTCAGAAAGTTTGACAGTGGAACCAATGATTCAAATAGGGTGTGGGTTTTCCTCCACTGGATGTAATCAAGCTGAAGCTAAAAAGCCATCTCTGAAGGATGATTTTATTTATAAATAAATATATATAAAT